GCACGCCAGGCATGTTCTTGTCACAACCGGGGATGACGACAGCGCCGTCGAGCCAGTGGCCACCGCAGGCGGACTCGACCGAGTCGGCAATGAGGTCACGAGAGGGCAGCGAGTACGACATGGCGTCGGTTCCCATCGAGATGCCGTCCGAGACACCGACAGCGCCGAACTGGTAGCCGGTGAGGCCTGCCTCCTGGACCGACTTTTTGACGCGCTGGCTGATGGCGAGCAGATGCGCGTTGCACGGATTGCCCTCGTACCAGATGGAGCCGATACCGACCATGGCTCGGGTGAGGTCCTCGTCGTTCTCGATGCCTTCGGTGGCGTAGAGCATGGCCTGGGACGCGCCCTGGTCCTTGGGCTTGGTGATGATCCTCGAGTACTTGTTGAGAGCACCCGGGGCGGCACGCTCGGCTCGGAGGGCGGCCGAGGAGGAGAGGTTGCGACGGAGCGACAGGGCGACATTGCGCAGGAGCGGGCCTGCCGATGGCCTGAGAGCGGCGGTGGATCGCAGCATGATTGTGTAGATGTGGAGCGTGCTGGTGGGAAGAAAGGGTGTGTGAGTGCGAAATGCAGCTTTCTTCTCGAGTGCAAGAGCAAAGCGGAGCTTCCGAGTCACTGGTCTCTGCGGCTCTCCCGCCAGGCGCCCATGCACGCTCTTTGGCGGGGCCACATTTTTATCGGGTCGAGTTTATCACATCGCTCTCGCTTCCAACCAGCAGCTGCTGCTGCTGCAGTCCAAAGGCATCGGCGAATCACCGCGCTGGAATTGCTCGACCAATGGATGCCGAAAACAAACTCGCGGAATGTTAGGCTGCCAAAATTCCTCCTGACGAGCGGATGCGAAAAATGCGAGCAGTCGCGATTGTTGGTTGGTCTCGCATCGAAGGGCGCGCTCAAGGCGATTTCAAGGAGAAGCCAAAACTTCATCAGCCACGCTGGCGGCGCGCCTGTCCCCCTCGAAGAGGAGCGGAGTTCCGCCGCTGCAGCACATCGACGCACCATCCTCAACTGAACCCTGAGTTTTTGCCCACTCAACATCACCATCGCCATCACCATCACCATCACCATCGCCATCGCCATCGCCATCGCCAT